CCAGGGGCACCTGCGGCGGTTGCGCTCGCACTACGAGGTCGCCTCCTTCAAGTTTGACGCGGGCGAGGTCAGCTATTTGCCGCGGGACTTCAGCACCTACAGGCCGCTGCCGGACCCCAACATCTGGAGCCGGCGCTACACGGAGATGGCGCTGCCCTTCTTCTCCCAGGCTGAGGTCCGCGTGGGCTACCAGTCGCAGAACATCTCCTGCTTCTTCCGCCTGGTGGACCGCGACTCCGTGTGGGGCTACGACCTGGGGCTGCGCTCGCTCATCCCGGCCGTGCTCACCGTCAGCATGCTGGGCTACCCGTTCATCCTGCCAGACATGGTGGGTGGCAACGTGGTGCCGGAGCGCACCGCGGGCGGCGGCAAGGTGCCGGACCGCGAGCTCTACGTGCGCTGGCTGGAGGTGGCCGCGTTCATGCCCGCTATGCAGTTTTCGGTCCCACCCTGGCAGTACGACGCGGAAGTGGTGGCCATCGCGCACAAGTTCACCGCCCTGAGGGCCTCGCTCGTGGCACCGCTCCTGCTGGAGCTGGCCGGGGAGGTCACGGACACCGGCGACCCCATTGTGCGCCCCCTCTGGTGGATCGCGCCGGACGACGAGACAGCTCACCGCATCGACTCGCAGTTCCTCATCGGGGACACCCTGCTGGTGGCCCCGGTGTTGGAGCCCGGCAAGCAAGAACGTGACGTCTACCTGCCCGCGGGCACGTGGCGCAGCTATAAGGGTGAGCTTTTTGACAAGACCCCAGTGCTGCTCACCGATTACCCCGTCGACCTGGATGAGATAGCCTACTTCATCTGGGCGTCCTGACCCAGCCCGGAGCCCGGGGACCGCACAGCTCTAACCCGCCTTCCCGCAGGCCTTTTACCCTCCGTCACAACCACCCCGTGGATCCCCAGGAAGTCCCTACCTCTGTACCACCCTCTACCTGGGTGCTAACATAAATGTGCTCCACCCACTCCTGCAGGGCCAGAGGAGGGCGCGGAAGCAGCCTCCCACTCCTACGCACAACCTAACAACCCCCTTTCCTCCACTCACCCTTGTCTACAGAAACCTTTCTCTGGGGTGGGAGTGTGTGAGCTCCGAGGGAAAAGGTCAGTTCCTGTTACACATGGTTGGATTTTAAAAGCACAAAAGAAAAACCTCACTCTCCATTCTGGCCTGAGTAGCCATCTTATCTTTCCGAAGTGGGGACTTGATCCTCTTTCAGGTCCCAAAATAGCCCCCTGCCACACTAAGAAAGGGCATATTCTTGGGGTTGGAAGCCAGGCCCTGAGTTCTCAGCCCTGGCCTGAACTGTGACTGACTTGGTCCCACCCCAGCTGCCGAGCAGAGATGGGGGTACTTGGCCAACTGGAGGACTTGATTCAGCGCCGTGCTATCATCATTGTCCCTCGTTTGTGAAGAGACTCCTAACACTGCACTAACCATCTGTGTACACACATGCACTCAGCCTTGTGTACACATATGTGCTCAGCACAAAGACTTGCAAGACCACGCAGGCCAGACTTGGTGCCTTACCCCAAGACCCTGTGTGTGTGTGTGGAGAGAGAGAGAGAGAGAGAGGCATCATGTGTCGTCCCTGGATATGCAGAATGAACACAACACCCCTGAAACTAGGTAACCCTGGAGGTAGGGGGCAGGGAGCAAATTTGAGGCTTAGATTGTTGACTTGGCCTCTTCCCAGGCAATGTCCCTGGAACTCTGGTAGGAAATAAACAGCCCCTTCATGATTGCTCAGCTGCCTCACTCCCTGCACAGGTGGCAGGGTGTGGCCTAAAAGGAAACGATAGTCTTATTCTGGTGGCGGTGTGCTTCATTCAGCACACGCACCACACGTGCACATCTCTGCCTGCAAATACACATACAGGGTAAGGTCTCTCATTTCAGCCATTTTTCCGTTCTAAGAAGATCAATCTCAGCCAGAGCATTTTTTTTTTTTTTTCTGACTTCACAGCTAAGTCTGGAGAAGTGGCTTGCCAGAGCCCGGAGGTGGTAAACAGGGCAGGGCTCAGCCTCCTCCTACAGCTTGGACAGCAGAACCAGTCCCTCAGCCCCTAGAGATTGCATCTCTTTGCCCAGCCCTCCACCCCTCTATTTTCTCAGTGTGAGGAATGCCTAATACAATTTTAAGGGAACTCACAGGTGCCTATCTCCCGTGCTGACTCCACCACTCTTCAACAAGCTGTGTGACCTTGAGCAAGCTGCTTAACCTCTCTGAGCCTCAGTTTCCTCATATGTAAAATGGTGATAATAATGCCTAACTCCCAGGTTGTTGTGGGAATTATAAGCACAGATGTATGTAAAGTGCCTGGCACAAGTAGGTGCTCAATAAAAGGTAGCTATTACAATACTGTTTCTTGTTTCCTTGTTTATAAATGACAAGGATTTTTCCAGGTCCCAGCTCCCAGCCCACCTGGCTTCCTCTGGCCCTGCAGGTGACATCCTCTTCCCAAACCTCTGCACATAGCACCCATTGAGGTGTGAGTTTGTATTCCAAAGGACACTGTCCAGGAGAAAGGCAAGAGGAGAGATATCTGAAGATAGGATGTTGGGAGACAGGATTCCAGAGTCCCCACATGATGAGAAGTAAGTGGAATTAGCTTCCTTCTCCTTTTTGCCAAGAGCATGTATTAACCAGTACTCAGTGATGAGCCTCCCTGGACCCTGGTGCCCAGCCATGTGCTATGGAGTGACTGTAGACTCGGGCTGCGTCCTGGAAAGTTCCCTAAATGGCTGGAGAGCATGACTACAGCTTGACTGGCCCTCCAGCATTCTATGCATCCTGAAGCCAGTTTACCCAACCTCTCAAGCCTTCATTTCTTCATCTTTAAAATGGAACGTCTAGGATTCATTGAGATGTGTCAGTAAAGCACTTATGCAAAAACTGGCAGAGTAAATGCTCAATGAATGGTAGCTCCTATCAACTCATATATATATATAAAGGAACAAGCAAAGTTCTGCCTAGAACCTGCGCTGTCCAATATAGTAGCCACTAGCCACGTGTGACTTTTTAAAATATATATTTTTTTATTGATTTCAGAGAAGAAGGGAGAGGGAAAGAGAGATAGAATCATGGATCGGCTGCCCCCTGCACACCCCACACTGAAGATCAAGCTACAACCTGGGGATCGAGCCAGCAACCCAGGCATGTGCCCTGACCAGGAATCCAAACCATGATGGCCTGGTTCACAGGTCGACGCTCCACCACCGAGCTACACGGGCCGGGCGCCACATGTGGCTTCTTAAATTTAAATTAAGTAAAATTAAATGTAATTTAAAAACCATTTCTTTGGACATACTAGCCATATGTCAAGCATTCAAAAGCCACATGTGACTAGTGGCTAACATATTGATCGGACAGTGCAGATTACAGAACATTCCCATAGCTGCAGAAAGTTCTGTTAGAGAG